GGGTTTTTAGGTGTCAAAACATTTTTTAGGGTTTAGAATTTTAAGATATAGGCTTTATAAATCTATAATTAGTGATATTTTTGTAAATGAACAACCCTAAATAGCATTATTACAAATGTGCATACAAAAAGTGACATTTTTACAATTGTCCCTATTTTTTTTCTACAAAGACTAATAGTTTAGTAAAATAAAACAAGTGTATATTGTCATTTAGAAAAAATGATAATGTGTCATTTTATAAAAAAATGATGATGTATTAAACAATGGAGATTATTCAGAATTTAATATACTGTGATCTTATTTTTTTAAGTTGTTTTGACCATTCCCAATAGGAGTTTTTTGAATGAGTTTCTTACCCATTAAAACATGAAATGATTAAAAGTATAAAAAAGAAAAATATGAGTCTTTTTTAGATGATGAGAGAAATCCAATTTTTTTTAGAAACCCATTTAGCAGATGAAAACATATGATTGGTTCAAATTTATCATTTTATCTTAAAATTTAAATAAATAATTATTCTATGTCATAATTTTTTCTTAAAATATATTTAGCAATGGGAGTGCTCTTAACATTTGTTGAGGATTTTGAGTAGTAAAATAGTAATGTATAAGACCATTTTTATTGGGAGGTTCTCACAAAAAACTCTCATCTATACAAAAATAATAAATTAACAAATACTAATATTTAGTTACAAGAGTCTTTAATAAAAAGTGAGAAAGTCTCTCATTTGAGAAATTTAAGAGAGTATTTAAACAATTTTGAGAAGTAATTTTCTCAAATTTGCTTATGTGTCACCACAAGAATCACTCTCACCAATTTTATTATGACATGGCTTCCAAAAAATATGACATGGCAAAAATGAATCAAAACATCATATTTTTACAAAATCTTCTTTAATTATGTTTACATTTCTTTCCATCAATAAATGAAAAGAAATTTTAAATAATATTTTAAAATAATATTTAGGTTTTTCATTAAAAAAATATTTTTAATTTTTTTTTTGTCACAATAAAGTTTTAGAACGGTTTTTCATATAAATATATTTTTACTGACATTTATAATAAAGACTTAACAAGTTTTTTAAAGAGATTTTATTATGTTTTGTGACAAAAAAATTTCAAATTTATAAAAACAATTATATGTATTCTTAAAAAAATTAATTTCTAACACAAGACAATTTGAAAATAACAAAATCATTTAAGATAAATTGTATATAAAATATCTTTATATTAAATATAATTTTTTTTAAATCAAAGGTTACATATGTTACATGCTAATATTCAAAAAGCTAATGTTCAACTTTTATATTTTAAGAAAATCAGTTTAACATTGTCATATTATATTTAATGTTTAGTAAAAAAAATACTATGAAATTTTCAATGTAAAATAAAAAAGATCAGACTATTGAAAATTGTTCAATGAATGAAACAAATTTCTAAATGTTATATTTTACTAATTATTCCATATAAATAAAAATTGTTTTTGTTTAATAAAATATGAAAAAGTGTAAGAGACGTTAATCATAATAAAAATAGAAAAACAACAAAAGTTTGAAAAACAAAACAAGAAGAAAACATAGTGTACTTGGTTTATGTTGTATGAAAAAAGTTATTAATTTTTCTTTATTTGCAAAAAATTACTCACGTTAATCTTTTCATATTTTGATGTGGAATTCACTTTTTATTCAAAATTCAATGTGAAAAAAATGATATTAAAAAAAAAGATTATTAAATAGGGGATTCAATCTTTTATGAGAAGAATTTTAATTTTTGATAATAGATTGTGCACTCTAATATATCAAATTATTATATATTTTATTTGATATGTTTACGTATATAAAATAATGAACTGGTAAAACTAAACTTCCAAAAGTTTATATTATTAACAAAACAAGTTTACAACAATATATCAACAACATTGTCTATAATAAAAATAAAAAAATACATATTTTCACATTTTCAAAGTATAAAATTCAAAAAATATATTATAAATAAATTATCCGCGTATACGTGGAAGAATCATCTAGTTTTGTTATTATTTTTATAGTTGAAAAGACTCTTGGGAGAGATTTATTATCAATGAAGATGTTCTAAAAAAAAAAAAAATTAAATAAGAAGGGGGTTAAATAAAAAATAATAAGGAAATTAGAGGGTGCAAAATGCAATATAGTTAAGTATAAGATTTTATCCGGCCATATTTCACATCTCACTCCCTCTGTCTTTCCTTATTCTTTCTGCTCTCACGAGAGTTTACTCGTTGTGGAACCCTAATCTCCTTCGAGTCGAATCGGAGAAATCTTCCCAGAGATCTGAGAGCTCTTTCTTCAAGGATATCGAATCGGTGAGAATCTGCACAGTCTTCTTCTGTTCGTGGCAAAAATCGGTGAGTCTTAAAGCTTGATCTGTTCATGTGATCTTTAATATCGTAAGATCTGATCGTGTTTTGGTCTAATTACTGGTTAATTCTCTCGTTAAGTTCACGAGTAGCTCAAGAAATTGAAAATTTCGATATGCTTTTGCTAGATTCAGTTGTGGTTCTCTTACAGTTCGATCTCTGCGCGATTTTGCATGCTTTGATACATATATGTGACGTTTTTGGAAGAGTATTTAGAAATGCATTAGCGATTTTCCCCAATGTTGATTTGTTGCTGTACTTGTTAGTTTTCTTGAATTTGTAGGAAATGGCAGAGAACAATTCACCCCCTGGCTCTGTAGAAGAGAAAGCAGATCAAATCATCGAAGCAAACCCATCAGTGAAGGATGATACTTCACTGGAAACCATAGTTCGAAGGTTCCAGGATACAATGTCAGAGGCAAAGACGCATAAGTTCTGGGAGACTCAGCCCGTCGGGCAGTTTAAGGATATCGGTGACACGAGTTTACCTGAAGGTCCAATTGAGCCGGCAACTCCGTTATCTGAGGTCAAGCAAGAGCCGTACAATCTTCCTTCTGTTTACGAATGGACCACTTGCGATATGAACTCTGATGATATGTGTTCTGAGGTATACAACCTTCTCAAGAACAACTATGTTGAGGATGATGAGAACATGTTCAGGTTCAATTACTCCAAGGAGTTTCTTAGGTGGGCGCTGCGTCCTCCCGGTTATTACCAGAGCTGGCATATTGGAGTCCGTGCCAAGACCTCGAAGAAGCTCGTTGCTTTCATCAGCGGCGTGCCAGCAAGAATCAGGGTGCGTGACGAGGTTGTGAAAATGGCAGAGATCAATTTCTTGTGTGTTCACAAGAAGCTCAGGGCTAAGAGGCTTGCTCCTGTCATGATCAAGGAGGTGACTAGAAGGGTTCACTTGGAGAATATCTGGCAAGCGGCTTATACCGCAGGGGTTATACTTCCTACACCAATCACCACCTGCCAATACTGGCACAGGTCACTGAACCCAAAAAAGCTAATCGATGTTGGGTTTTCAAGGCTTGGTGCAAGAATGACGATGAGCAGAACCATAAAGCTTTACAAGCTACCAGATGCACCTGTCACTCCTGGGTTCAGAAAAATGGAACCACGCGATGTCCCTGCTGTTACGCGGTTGCTTAGGAACTACCTTAGCCAGTTTGGAGTTGCGACTGACTTTGACGAGAACGATGTTGAGCATTGGCTGCTCCCAAGAGAAGATGTCGTGGACAGTTACTTAGTCGAAAGCCCTGAAACTCATGATGTTACCGACTTCTGCAGCTTCTACACTCTCCCATCAACTATCCTCGGTAACCCGAACTACACAACTTTGAAAGCTGCTTATTCGTACTACAATGTCGCCACGCAGACCTCGTTTCTTCAGCTGATGAACGATGCACTGATTGTCTCCAAACAGAAGGGTTTCGATGTGTTCAACGCGTTGGATGTGATGCACAATGAGAGTTTCTTGAAAGAATTGAAGTTTGGTCCAGGAGATGGACAGCTTCACTACTATCTCTATAACTACCGCTTGAGAAGCGCATTGAAGCCAGCGGAACTTGGGCTTGTGCTCTTATAAGCTCGATAACCAGATTTAATGGTATTAGTTTGGTATCAACAAACTTCAAGTTTGGTTTTATTTATTTTTCTTTTACTTTTGTTCGTCTTCTTCCATCTGAAACTACTTCTCGCATGGGTTACTGAAACTGAGTTTTATTCTTTTGGGAATGCAATTTTGAATTTTCTGCAAATGCTTTGTGCTTTTTGACATTTTGTTACTTATGATATCTCTTCCATGCTTATTTATATGCAGAAATTGCTGTCTTACGATTTCTCTAATGTTGTGTGAGTAACAATGGGCTGTGTAGGCCCAATAATAACCTATGCACATTTAGCGTTAAAGCTGTTATGAATCCATATGATAAAAGGGTGCGTCGAACGACGCCTCTTTGCCTGCAATATTCTTGTTTTTTAGCTTTGTTAAAGGCACCTTCAAAATTTAATGACGTTCAATTCTTACTTCAAATTAAACAAAAAAGCCGATTAAACGAAAGAAGCTTATTTGGGTTTATGCTGTTTTGTTTTTATCTATACCTAAACACGTACACATTAAAAATAAATAGACCGTTCAACAATTTAAAAAATATATATGCCTCACATGGAATTTAGTTTAGCTCGATTTAAAATTAAAATCTCTAAAGAGAAATGAGATTGAACTTGAACGCAAGGCGATACACGTCATTGTCCTAGCCCTAAAACGTCGTCGTTCGTCGTAGCCCTCATTTGTACTGTCCTTTTGCGTGAGGCTACTTTTAAATTGCACGAACCAATCCCATCCCTACACGTGTATTCATATGAATAAGACGTTACGCAGCCCGTTCACTACTGTCCCCCAATGAGAGAATTACACGCGGCGAATAGAGTCGTACCGTAGCACCGGTTCTATCCTTCTTATCGTCCTCTCGTCTTTCCCAGTCATTCTGGAAAAAAAAAAAAAATCATCACGAAGGACAAAAACGCAGATTCTCTTTCCGTTAAAAGCTTAATAGAACAGCAACAATGGTGTGAGAGAGATTTTCTTCTTCGTTTTTTTTCTATTTCGGATTTTTGTTTCGCGAGAGGAGGAAATGGAGTGTGTTGGGGCTCGGAATTTCGCTGCAATGGCGGTCACAGCTTTTCCGTCATGGAGTTCACGGAGGAGATTTCCGGTGGTTAAGAGATACAGCTTGAGGAATTTCCGATGCGGTTTGTGTAGAGTCAGAGCTAGCGGCGGCGGAGCAGGTTCCGGTAGTGAGAGTTGCGTGGCGGTGAGAGAGGATTTCGCTGACGAAGAAGATTTTGTGAAAGCTGGTGGCTCTGAGATTCTATTCGTTCAAATGCAGCAAAACAAAGACATGGATGAACAGTCTAAGCTTGTCGATAAGGTCTCTCGATTGACTTGTTTAGGAAGATAACGAGACGTCTCGTAATCTCAGTCCCATTGATTCTGCTTTGTTCATAGATTTGATTTGCTTATCTTACTAGGTTTTGAAGCTTGTCTATGAGAATTATATATCGATTTGACGTGTTTTGCAGTTACCTCCTATATCAATTGGTGGTGCTTTGGACCTTGTGGTTATTGGTTGTGGTCCTGCTGGTTTAGCCTTGGCTGCAGAATCAGCTAAGCTAGGACTAAAAGTTGGACTGATTGGTCCAGATCTTCCTTTCACAAACAACTACGGTGTTTGGGAAGATGAATTCAAAGGTATGAGAGCTCAATGCTCCATTATCTTGTCACCAAATTCATGGTCAGTGTGATAATTAGTTTGTGTGTTAACATGTCTCTCTATAGATCTTGGGTTGCTTAAATGTATTGAGCATGTTTGGAGAGATACTATTGTATACTTGGATGATGACAATCCCATTACAATCGGCCGTGCTTATGGAAGAGTTAGTCGACATTTACTCCACGAGGAGCTCTTGAGGAGGTAAAAGAATGGTTCCATTCATCATCTTTAAAGAGACTTTTCTCTAGTTATTTGTTCATCTCCTGACTTTGAACTGCTTAAATACATAATACATTATTAATTCCTCCTAGGTGTGTCGAGTCAGGTGTCTCGTATCTTAGCTCGAAAGTTGAGAGCATAACAGAAGCTTCTGATGGCCTTAGACTTGTTGCCTGTGAAGACAATATTGTCATTCCTTGCAGGTACAAGACTGGAACCAGAGATGGTACTATTCTAGTTTAATAAAACGTTTTGGACCAATGTAAAGGTCCTGACTTGTATCAAATGCAGGCTTGCTACTGTTGCTTCTGGAGCAGCTTCAGGGAAGCTCTTGCAATATGAAGTTGGAGGACCTAGAGTCTCTGTCCAAACTGCATACGGCGTGGAGGTTGAGGTAAGAATAAAATGAATATGATAGTCCACTGTTATACCAATTACTGGAAATTTATATAAATCTTTTGAGATTATTCTATTTGAAAATTTTAGGTGGAAAACAATCCATATGATCCAGAGCAGATGGTTTTCATGGACTACAGAGATTATACAAACCAGAAAGTCCGGAGCTTAGAAGCTGAGTATCCAACGTTTCTGTACGTTATGCCTATGACAAAGACAAGAGTATTCTTTGAGGTTCTCTATGCTGTTTCTCTCCTTCTATTTACTCGTGATCACGAAAATTCAAAGTCTGTTGCTTATATCAGCTGGAATTCCCTACAGGAGACATGTTTGGCTTCGAAAGATGTCATGCCGTTTGATTTGCTTAAAAAGAAGCTCATGCTAAGATTAGATACACTAGGAATTCGAGTTCTTAAGACTTACGAAGAGGTAAATATCTATACAAAGAAAAAAAGAAGAGTAAAGCTTCACTTGTTGAACAACATAAAAACTTCTGGGGTTGCTTTGTTAATTCGCTTGGCACTTCAAAACTGTAGGAATGGTCTTATATCCCAGTTGGTGGTTCCTTGCCAAACACCGAACAAAAGAATCTCGCTTTTGGTGCTGCCGCTAGCATGGTACATCCCGCAACAGGTAGCAAAAGAGCAAGCCTTGACCTGAAATTCGGTTAATTCACATTTTGAATCTGCACCATCCATCTACGAACTTAACTTTCTCTTTTTTTGAAAACAGGCTATTCAGTTGTGAGATCTTTGTCTGAAGCTCCAAAATACGCTGCAGTCATCGCGAATATATTGAAACAAGAAACTACTTCTTCCTTCACCAAACACATCAACAGTAATATTTCAAGACAAGGTGAGCTATAAACAAATTGGTTAGCTATACTTTGAGAAAGTGACAAAATCTTCCAAACTTAACTTTTTAGTATCCATATTTTTGCAGCTTGGGATACTTTGTGGCCACAAGAAAGGAAACGACAAAGAGCATTCTTTCTCTTTGGTCTTGCGCTCATACTTCAACTCGATATCGATGGCATTAGAAGCTTCTTCCACACTTTCTTCCGCCTTCCAAAATGGTAAGCATCCCATTTTAAGACATTGATTCTTGAAAACAAGAGAACTGATTCTTCTTTTCACTTGCTCAGGATGTGGCAAGGGTTTCTAGGATCAACATTAACATCAGGAGATCTAGTTCTGTTTGCTTTCTACATGTTCATCATTGCACCAAACAATTTGAGAAAAGGTCTCATTAATCATCTCGTATCTGATCCAACTGGAGCAACCATGATTCGAACCTATCTCAGAGTATGATTCTCTACCCCACTCTTGGGTTTCTGTGTATATATCTTTATCTAAATCATCGATCGAAGAATGGTACGTGGGTTACTAGCAAAACTGGAAACAAACGTGTATAGAATCTAAGGAATGATGGTAATGGAAAAGGAAAAGATCAGTCTTGTTTTGTGGTAAGTGACTGAGAATTGAGAGAAATGATATTGTGAATTGTGATCCTCTTTGATTGTTTATGGTGGAAGAATAGAACTAAAAAAAACTCATTTTTCTCATTAAGAGTTAGATTTTTCAAAGTTATGCATGTTAATAACTATTCATCAATTTCTAAACATGAGTAATAGTATTCTTATATGTTATGGGTATACAATGGCTAAATGATAATCATAATGATAGCGAAAACATTTACAGTCGAACAAAATTTATACAGATTAATCACGAAATGCTAACAAAGTTAGTTTTTGACAATTCTTCTTTCTTCTTTCTTCTTTCGTTATAGTTTTTAAGTTTTAACACATGCATGCTTTGTCAAAAATGTGAAAACTTGATGAATGTTGTAAATGATAAGCAAATGCAACATCACGTTTCAAACTTGTTAACGCAAAGTTGTATCCATTCATCAACAGACCTTTTTTTTTTGATAAAACATTTCATCAACAGACTTTGTAAAGCATTAACACATGGATTAATCTATACACTTATTCTTTATATTTTTCTGTAATTTTTTCAAGCCGGAAAGTGTGAATATTGGATATTGCAAGTGGTTTATGTGTGCCGTCTTCAATCATTTATTTATATGAAACAAGAACTGAGAAAAAGTATATGTTCGTTCATTCATTGCATCACATACAGAATCTAAGAACAAGCAATATATTTATGTTTAATTAAACCATTGGAAATCCTCCTGAACCCTATATAAAATAGTTACTAGTCAATATAATCAATTTTTAAATTCGCTATTTGCACCATTTGCTAAGAATGTATTTATATATGTTTGCTAATGTCAACCCATACGTACATAGAAACATTCCTTTTTATCATTTCCTTATTAAGTCTTGCATTTGTTTTACAGTTATATCAATACTAGACTTGAAATTTCTTTATTGGTCCTAATTTGTTAAACTTGAAAGTTAAAGGTATATATCTTAAATTTCATCTGAAGGTAATCTCCACCTAAAAAAAAAAGACTGAAAAAAATCATTTGATCCAATTAGTAGATATTACAAAGTACAAACAAACAAAAAGCTGACTGAATACAAATTTACGAGTTCACGAATTATCGTGGATACAAATTTAATTGGGCTTAATCAATGAACTTGAAGACCAAACGTTATATATCATGAATGTTACCTAAATATAGGACCCATATAAAAACAAAACAATTTTCGAAAAAGACTTTTCTAATAAATACGGCGCTTTTATTTATTTAATTCAAGAGTCAATAAATACATCACCCCACTTTTCTTCTTTTCATCCATCAAGTCAACTTTAACGCTTTCGCGGTCTCTGCCAAAACCACATTTCGTCGCAATTTTCCCATCTGAGACAAGTAAAAGTTTCATGGTGGTGATGTCTAACAAATTCTTCGAATCCATCGGCGGAGCTCCGGCGTATTCTTCGTTATCCGTCGCCGTTAAAGGATCCGTCGGCGACGCCGTTGGAGGAGCTGCTAGCCGTCGAGCTCTTCGTTGGGCCGTCGAAAATTTCCTTCCCAAAATCGATCGATTAGTTCTAGTTCATGTCATGCCTGCAGTCACCAGTATTCCATCTCCTTGTAAGTTTGGTTTCGAATTTCGTTAAATCAGTTTCATCGGTTTCGCGATTTTATGAATATTTCACCGTAATTTTGTTTGTAGCTGGATCGAAGATTCCGGTGGAGGAATTGGAGGAGAGTGTTGTGTCGATGTATAAACGAGATCTGAGGAAGGAATTCGAACAGGTTTTTGTGCCGTTTAAGAAGATCTGTAAATCCAACAAAGTGAGTTACTGTTTCTGTTTATGTAAATCCTGATTCAGTACGGATTTTGAGAGATTTGTGCTCATGGAATTTACTTGGTTAATCTTTAGGTTGAGACTTTGTTGCTTGAACATCATGATCCTGCAAATGCACTTTTGAAGTACATATCAGATACTGAAGTTGAGTGTTTAGTGATTGGGTCTTGCTCTTCAAATTTCCTTACAAGGTATTGTTTCCAAACGAGAATTTTCACAAAGTTATGTCTTGAAGAATTTCGATTACCGTTGTCTCAGTTTGTATATTTGCTTGAAGATTACTATATGGAGACTTGTGATCAATACATGATCTTGCTCAAACGTTTTGGCTTGGTTTTGCCAGGAAAAAAGGACAAGAAATGCCATTAACGGTGTTAGGAGAAGCTCCAGAGGCATGTGAGATATATGTTGTTTGCAAAGATAGAATATTAACCAAATCAACCAATCAGTTATCTGCAGGTATTTACGCACAGTCCCTAGAATGATCTGAGATGGAAAACATAATCATGTTTTGTTGATCCCCTTGTGGTTTCTGTTTCTGTGTGTAATTTTCACCAGATTCATCATCTAGTTTCCGTATACCCGAAGGAGCAGAAGCTTATACAGAATCTTTCAGCCGCACACGCTCAGATAAGACAGGCTTGTCTGCTTCATCTATATCATCCTCGGGCAGGAAGCAGATTCGAAGGCCTGACTCTTTACCGCATAGTCATCCAACCTCTCGAGTGTTTTCTAATGCACAATCTTCAAATAATATCGGTTTGGCCAATGAGGAACACATTCGTTCTATCCTTAGACGTAGTACTGTTCCCAGTCTTAAACAGCAGTTGAATCCTGGAACTTACATAAAGACACCAAAGGTAAACCATTTTATCTGTTGCGTTGATTCTCTGTTTATGCAAAATGCTATGATTTTGATCTCAATACCTGTTTTTGCAGTCAGATGTTAAGTCTGAGGTAGAGCAGCTAAGGAAAGAAGTACAAACCACTCTTTCCATGTACAAACAAGCTTGTGAAGAACTAGTCCATAAACAAACGCAGGTAGGACTTCTAATTTCAAAATTTCCAATAGTCTTTTTTTCTTCTTTTTCTCAGAATCTGTCCACAAAATGTTTTTGCATTTATTAGATTCATAAACTCAACCAAACCACATTGTGATCTCTCAGGTCCAGTCTCTTTCCTCTGAGTGTATCAAGGAAACGGAGAGGGTCATAACTGCTATGGAGAAAGAAGAAATGCTGAGAAAGGCAGCAGCAGAAGAGAAAGAAAAGCATCTAAAAGCTGTTAAAGAAGTCGAGGAAGCAAAATCAATGCTAGCCAAAGAGTTCTGCGAGAGGCAATTAGCCGAGCTAGATGCCCTCAAACAATCCATAGAGAAACAGAAAGTCATTGACCAGCTCTTCTTAAGAGACGGGCGGTACAGAAAGTACACAAAAGAAGAAATAGCTGCAGCTACAGATAATTTCTCTTCCCGTAAAATAATCGGTGAAGGAGGATACGGAAAAGTATACAAATGCAGTCTCGACCACACCCCAGTAGCTCTTAAAGTTCTCAAACCCGATTCAATCGAAAAGAAAGAAGAATTCTTAAGAGAGGTACATTACCAAGTACTCTCATGGTCTAATAATAACTTCATCCCTCTAGTCTAATACACTCTGAGATCTGAATCCGCTGTCCAATTTCACTCGCAGATCTCAGTTTTAAGCCAGCTTCGTCATCCTCATGTTGTTCTTCTACTCGGTGCTTGTCCTGAAAATGGTTGCCTTGTCTATGAGTACATGGAGAATGGTAGCTTAGATGCTCATATCTCTCCCAAAAAGGGGAAACCATCACTCTCATGGTTCATCAGATTCAGAATCATCTATGAAACCGCATGTGGCTTAGCTTTCCTCCACAACTCAAAACCCGAGCCCATCGTCCACCGCGACCTCAAACCAGGCAACATTCTCTTAGACAGAAACTTCGTTAGCAAAATCGGCGACGTTGGACTCGCCAAACTCATGTCAGAAGAGTCACCAGACAGTGTCACGGTTTACAGAAACTCGATTATCGCGGGTACACTCTACTACATGGATCCTGAATACCAAAGAACCGGCACAATCAGACCAAAATCAGATCTTTACGCATTCGGAATCATAATTCTCCAGCTTTTAACCGCTCGACATCCCAACGGTCTTCTTTTCTGCGTTGAAGACGCTGTAAAGAGAGGCTGTTTTGAAGATATGTTAGATGGAACAGTCAGAGATTGGCCCATAGCCGAAGCGAAAGATCTAGCTCGTATTGCAATCAGGTGTTCGCAGCTCAAATGCAGAGACAGGCCGGATCTTAACACACAAGTCTTGCCTGCTCTCAAACGGATTCTTGAATCTGCAAATTATAGACTCAAGACAGAACAGGCTAATGTACGACCACCAACTCACTATTACTGTCCAATTCTTAAGGTAAACAACACTCTCTCTTTTTCTCTTACCTGTAAACTATTTATTTGATTTGGTACGGGTTTTAAACGGTCGATCTCATCTGGTTGATATGCAGGAAATAATGGAAGATCCACAGATAGCTGCAGATGGATTCACGTACGAAGGAAAAGCGATAAAGGCTTGGATTCAAAAAAATCATAATGTGTCTCCAGTGACTAAGCATCGGCTCAAACATTCCGATCTCACACCGAATCATACTCTCAAATCGGCTATACAAGAATGGCGATCTCGTTCACGCTTAGACCTTTCCACTACTCTTGGCTCCTTTTGATCACACAAATAAATAAATTATACATTATTACTAGATTATTTCCCGCACAAAGCGGTGCGGGTTCAAATGTATTTTGTAAGAATAAAATTATAATTTGCTATTATCAATTTGTGATATTGACGTGGAGATATGTGTTATATAATGATTGTGTGTAGATGTAAATGTATTTTGTAAAAATAAAAATTATGATTCATTATAGAAAATTTTTGATTAGCAATTAACTTTTTAATTAGGTTCATGTTCCACATTATGACATACCAAGAGGAAGATTTGATGGTAAGAGATCGAAGATAGACACAAGAAATTTTCTTRCACYTACKATTTTTCAGTGTTTCTCAAACTCATTCAAATTTTCTCAAACTCATTCAAATTTTTGGTCAAGA